AATATCTCTTACCTCAATAACATTCTTCATAATGTCTTGGGTTTAGATTTAGTGAATACAAGATTTAGTGAATACGCTTAACAATGTACAAATAATGCTTTAGATTCAATTGCTCTTATTTTTGCTTGTAAGCCGCTATAAACTCCCGAAACATTACTTGCACCATCAAAGCGTTTCCCACTAAAATTATTTATATATAAATCTAATGCGGTTAACATATCATAAACCACTTTGAAAAGGGTTTTAGAATCAGTTTTAACTGTTCGTAAAAAGCTAAAAAATATTCTTAAATTTGAAATGTGTCACGGTCGACCGATCGAACATAATGAAACCTGTTCCATTACAAATATGTCTGAAGTCTCGTCAATCATTATTGAAAAATATTTAATCATTTTAATTATTTCGGATGCTATATTTTCAAGCAATTCGTTTATTATTTCATGCAAAATCCATTTATATTTCGTTCTCTGTAACCAAGAACTTAATTACGAAACATCTGTAACTTTAACTTTTGAAAACTGACTCAAATTTAAAGCTTCATCTGTAGGACCACGATTGGCCAGTCCTTGTTTTACGAGTAAGACAACTAGCGTTTGCAATCCCGAAATCCCGAAATCTCGGTGTCCTTTTTTTTATAATCTCGAAATCCCGGGATTGTCTAATATCGATTCCGGGATTTCCTACACAATCGAGTAAAACAAAGGGGAAATCAAAAAATGTATAAAAATAACAACAATTTATGCGCATCAATATAATAATTTTTATTTAGTATAATATTGCAGAAAGAAATTCTATTTTCAGTTATTCTGTTCTGTAGTTCTGCAAAATAAACTTTTTTAAACTGAAAAAAAACGCGCGTTTCTCACAAGGTATACTCTTAAAGTTAAAACTTAAATAAGCATGGCGTATGTGAACTTTACAATTAAAAGTAACTCAGCTGTTTAAAAGTATTTTCTACGAGAAGAAAAAGGGCAAACAGCGTTGTGTAAATTGCCAAACTGCATGAAGGTTTTAAAAATCTGTAGTGGCTTAACAAAAAGACTTCATATGCACATGTTGTCGGTGCATATTGTGAAGGTCGAAAGTCCATCCCAACCTAATATTACCAGAGAAAGTACATCAGATGAACCACCAAAAAAGAAATCTAAACCACTAACAGAGTGCTTTTCGATTTTTGAAAAGGAAGATAAAACACTTTATGCCACACTTGCTCGTCTAACGGCGTCTAACGGGCTTTCATTTAATGTAATTTGTTCTTCAATAGATTTACGTGCCGCTCTAACTGCTATGAGATTCAGAAATCTACCAACGTCAGTAAACACAATTCGTAATCATCTAGTAGAGTACAGCAAAAAAGTAAGATTAGGTTTAGTTCAGTAAATTAAAGCGCTCAAGAGTACAGAATTCGGGGTAGGAGAGAAATTTTCTTTGTCTTTTGACGAATGGACGTCACTTTGAAATTGTCGCTATATGAATATTAACGTTCAAGGAAAAAATTCTCAGTTTTGGAGTTTGGGTTTAGTGCGAATAACAGGGTCAATGCCAGCAGAAAAGTACATTGAACTATTAGAAAAAAAACTTAAAGACTATTGTCTTGACCTACACGGTAACATTGTGGCTACAATCATGATGATTTGACAATATTATCAGACATTATTACAACTTTAGTTCCTAATAAAGCAACGGTTGAAGCACTTTTTTCGCCGAGATTCAAACCTATTTATAGTTGACATAGGTATTAATTTTATGCTTACAAAATTAAAAGATACTGTATATAACTTAATAAAAATAATTCCCATTATCAAATATGGCTATTACCTGATAAAAGTTTCATTCTGGTTGACTTTAATATTTGCAAAAGATAACTTGATAACTAAGGAAAAAAGTAACTAGTTTCACTACTATCTTTAACTATCAAGTAGTAATGACATCTAGGTGCTATATTTAATAATAAATCTTCTTGACATTTAACATCGGATTGGGTAATTTTAGTCTATGGGGTAATGTGGGTCTAAAACAACATATATCAATTTTTCAGAAAAAAAGTAGAAACGTTTTTTTCTGTATGTTATAGGTGAATAAAACAGAACATCTAAATTTTAGTTACTTTTAAAATTTTTTATAAAATATTAAAAAATTTTTTTTATTATTAGCTTACCGAGCAAATTCTTAAGAATATTTTTGATTCAAAATAGTGCGTACACGAGATTTTTTATGATAAATCTTAAATTTTTATAAAAAGGCATTTAATGTTCTAACATGTAAAAAATGTTTTATCTGGAAAAAAAGTTACTTGATAATTAAGTTCGATTAGTTTTGAGACGGAATGAAACATAAGTTTTTTGAAATTCACAATATAGTCGGGTGGGGTAATGTGGACCACATTACCCCCACCCGACTATATTGTGATACGTATTGTACCAATTATATTGTCGATACGTATGTGCCGAATCTAATACATATAGAGCCATTAATGCTCTAAAATAAATCTATAAAAAAATTTTATTTAAAAAAGTTTAAATTAAAAGTTATTATCTTTTTTGATTATATTTTGAAATTTTGAACCTGCAAAAGAACATCTTTTACAGATTCAAAGTTCTTTAGTTTTGTTCGGAATCTCTGTCAACTTAATTTTTAAACTTTTGTTGCAAAGGCCAACACCACGCTGTAAAAGAAACAAAAGCCGCAATCCACTTAACGACCTGTTTAAAAACGTATGATTTGAAAGGAATTGCAATCGGATGAAAAAGGATTGAAAATTGCAATCGGATGAAAAAAGATTGAAACAAATTCCAATTATAGTCCTTAAAACTATTTTAACAATTGAAAAAGTGTAACAATAGAATCTCTAAGAAAATACTTAAAACAATAGAATCTCGAAGAAAATACATAAAACAATAGAATCTCTAAGAAAACACATAAAACAATAGAATCTCGAAAAAAATAGGGGAGAGCGGGGTTGGTTGTCACGCGGGTTGGTTGTCACAAAGTTTATTACAGGAAATGTAAATAAGATATAGAAATTTCAAATTATGCAATGGAAATGTTATATAAAAAAAACATTTTTACAGTAATTTTTATCTTTTTTTAGCGTGCAGAAGAAAAGTTATTCGTTTTTAAAGGTTTTTGATATGAAAAAGTAAAATTTCGCCTACTCAGAAATTTTCTTTTACCAAACGAACATTATTTTATTGTGTTTTGAATGTAGATTTATAAAGTACTTTATTCATTTGAGTAACTTAATCAGTAAAAAATTATCATGAAATTCTCACGCTTTTAGGTAAATGTACAGGTGTCCAGCAACTTACTCAGAAGGGGTTGCTTGTCACAAAATATATGGGGATGGTTGTCACACTTGCCTCGACTCCATGCGCTGCAAATTAAACGCCGCTTGCAGATTTTTTATTGGCTTTGTTTATTTTCCGCATTATTGAGGAATATTTTAATGTTTAAGATATTATTTAAAAATCTAAAGTCAAAGTGTTATATTTGTTTAACTAAATATCTGTAATCTAAATTATTTTTATTTCAACGTGCATAACTTTAGATTCCGATCCAATGTTTAGTATAATTATAGAAAAAGGATTGCAGAAGTTCAACTGTTTATTGTTTTGTTTACAAACTAAACAACTAGCTGTTGTTTAGTTTGTAAAACTGTCTGTTGTTTTGTTTGTGCATTGTTTATATTTAGTGCATCTATTGTTTTGAATCTTTTTCCAACAGCCGATCAAGAGAAGGCCAGAGCCTAAAACTGGCTAAAAAAAAAAGTTCCTCTAAAACTTGCGGAGCCTAGGGCTCTAGCCCCCTAAATCCCTCCTTGATCTGACACTGAGGTGGGGATGGAGGGTCAAAATAAAAGCGTGGATTTCAATTTTTGACATTGAATCCACTTTCAGTTTTTGGCAAACCTGACAGTGGATTCAATGTCAGGTTTGCCAAAAACGGTCTCATGAAGAATGCACACCAGGCTTACAACAGTTTATTTGTGAATTGTGTTCTTTATCCAATAATTTTTAAAAAACCAAACCTAAAAACATTTATAGTGATAAACTAAATTTGTTAATTGTGTTATATTTAAAATATATATATTTCAGTTTATAGTATTTTATTTTTATTTTTCTTAGTAAAACATAAACGAAATTAATTTGTACTCGTTTTACATTAAATTCTTATCTAAACTTGTCAAAATCCAAATGTGACAATCAACCCCGCACCATGTGACAACCTACCCCGTGAGCGGGGCTAGTTGTCACACAGAAGTGGTCTTTGAAAAATGATTTTACAGCAATAAATATTTCACTCAATGTCATAAAAATATTATAATAGTTACTGGAAATAGTTGAACTAGCTTTGTGCAAAGTTTGGCATTGATTGGATGAAAATTAAAAGCTGAGCAGCCTAAAATGTAAAAAGTGTGACAACCAACCCCGCTCTCCCCTACTTATAACCGAATTACTGATTAAACTCAGTATTGCGCAATAGCGTACATTTTGGTCTATTTTTAGATTAAATGGTTGAAAAAAGGCAATCAAACTTTATATTTGGCACATACATTTTCAATTTATAATATTTTATATGTCAATATATGATCCCAATATCATCTAGCTCAAATAACATTTATAAGATAGTATTCGAACTAAACACTTTTGAAATTTTTTAATGCGTTTACGTATAACATTAAGTGTGGTTGCCCAATTATAGTCAGAAGCTCTCAACCCTAATATAGAGGTTTATAATGAGCGCGCTCAAACAATACATTTTTTAATTTCATTTAATGTATAAGATACATACATTTAAATATTTTAAATACGATAAAATTATTCAATTTTTCATTAGATAGCTTTTCTGATATCTTGTAATCTATTAGGCCGTCTACTACTCTATATGTATTATTAGTAGAAAATTTATAGGATTTTTTAAGTCATGATTTTTAAGACCTAAGCAGTTCATTTTTTTTCCTCAAATTTTAAAAAAAAATTTCCGAAAAAAACTCGAGTTCGTTCTGTAAGTTATAGTTAACTTTAGTTTATTCTGTAAATTATGAATATTAGTTTATTCTAAAAATTATAAACATCTAGCTTTTTTTCTTTTTATTCACCGTCTTTTAATAACTTAAAATAAAAAATTAATCGATTCAAGATTAGGCGATGATAAACAATCACTATCCATTATCCAAATAACTATCTTCTTTCTTGACATCGTCATAAAACGATTGTGTAGCTTCCGTGCGAATAAAAAACGTGTCCTGTTTTTGAGCAATTTGCGTATAGTTTCGATTGCTGCTTTCGGTTTTGCTTGAACTACGAGAGTAAAAAAATGATTCATTTAAAGGTGCTTTAAAAAATAAGCTACGCTCTTTATTGGACATGTGAAATAACGAAGTGTTATCTACAGTACCATCTTGTGTTAAGTATTCAAGTGCGTTATTTTTGTGGTTTTCAGAAGTTTTTGAAACTTGAGATATCTCATTCCGTAGATAAGAACTAATGGATTCGTAGTTATGATCTTCTAGAGATGTAAAATTATTTTCTACTTTTTCGTCAAAAATTGAATCTTCTTGAGTGCTGTTAAAGGTTCGCACACTTATACCGCTATCTGATCGGCGAGGAGAAACCCCAATTTTTTTTTTGAGTTGCTGTGGCAAAGGTATATCTGTTTTAGCTTCGTTTTGTTTTTCCTTAGCTTGCATTGCTTTATTAAAACTACAATTTCGTAAGCAACTTTTATCCGTTACTAGATGTTCTTGAGTTATGCCGTTTAAAGACATTGATCGAGATGACTCATCATAACTTTTCTTCGTAAATGATATAGGTGGAGTAGAAGCTGACCTAGAGTTTTTTAATTTTGGGTTTCCAGTTTCATTAATTAAGTTGTGCAAATCTGATTCATACTTGACATTCGTTTTTGACTCTGCCGGTATTTTTAACAACGGAATGTTATTTGTACTGTAATCATCTTTAAAAAAGTCAAGCGTCGAACCTTCACCAGCTTTAGCATTTTGATATCGTACCTGGCAAAGAAAACCAAAATTTTTCCAAAAAAAAATTGAAATATATCATATAACAACTTTTTCAGAATTATTAATTACATATTACTACTGCGACCGTTTCAGACAAAGAGGCAAGTAAATTTATTTTCAAAAATTAGAAAATTAAATTTGACTAATGATTTTAAAAAAATAACTGCGTTTATCAATACAATTTTCTATCGGCTAAGTAAAGATAGTGTTTGAAAAAAAAAAAAAAAATTTATATACAAGATATATTAACTTTACTTAACTTTACCTGAGTTATTTTTTCCAAATAGTTAAAGAATAAAAAAGTTTATTATACTGCCTTATAAAATAACATTTTTTGAGTAAAACCAGGTATAATGGAATGACATGTGAAATTGAGCAAGTTTTGTATTTTCTATCATATGCATATGAAACCATATATATATATATTTATACCATATATATGGTATAAAAATGTTTGACTTGAAATTTTTTACATGTGTTAAAAAGAGTTACTGAGAATAAAAAATTTAATACAAAAAAAGTTACTGTAAGTAAATTAAGTCAACTACGCCAACCTACAAAATCATAAATAATAACTTATCCACACATTCCAGTCTCAATCAGTAATTATGATAAATCTGAATACATATGTTGATTTAATTCAAACTGCTATTCAAGAAAACAGAGCTGCTCTAGAAAGTGAAACTTCATCATGTCAACACTACAAAGCAAAAAAATACCAGAGTTAGTAAACCTAATGAAGATAATCACAATTTACCCGACACGCTAAACATACTTAAATAGGCTAAAGACCAGAAGAATGAGAAAATTAAAAAAAAAAGAAAAGAAAATTGATTTTAAGGCTGCGCAGATATAAATGCTACGCATCGGAGAGTCAATCCACACAACAAATGTTAGAGAAAAAAAAAAATTCAAGAAGTGTCCAAAAGGTTGGAATGAAAATGCAACAAATGAAAATGACTGATATGTTTTACTTCAAACCTACTTCTTTGTAAGTCTATCATTTAATCTATGTAACTGCTTTATTTTTAATAATTGTATAATTTTAATTAGCTAATTAACTTAAAAGCAAAATAAAATTGTAAAATAAAATTTATATACTTTTTTAAAGCCAATGTTTCCTAATAAATCCATATAAAGAAAAAATATAAAAATCTTTTTCTTAAAAAAAAAAAAAAAAAAAAAAAAAAAAAAAAAAATCAATTTTATTGAAATCTGTTCAACAAGACCCGTTTTAATTTTATTTGTTTTTAGTTGCTCGCTATTAATTTTTGTTGCTCTAGATTAAAATTTTTTTTATTAAATAATAACTTAATTAAATAGAAATTTGTGTAAACATAAACAGAATAAAATACCTTGGCTCGTTCAATTGTATTTATCCAAATATCCCTATTTAAACACTCAAGCAGGAAAGCAGTAGCTAACAATCCAGACTCATCAAGATAAATAAAAACAATTGTCTGACTTTGAGACTCGGACTTTATTAACTTAATTTTATCAAGGTAAAAAAGTTGTTTGACAACATGAAGCTTATTGGTAGCCTTTTTTATTTTAGCAATAACAACAAGGTCTGTAAAGAGCAGAACTTCCACAGTTGACTCTTTCTAAAAAAATTAAGTAAATACTTAAATATAATAAAATTAAGTAACACCAACAGTATAACTAAGTATTTTTTTTTTTTAAAGTATACTTTTCCTTTCTTGTCTTCCAGTAACTTCATTGTGCCCCTTTTTAAAAAACATCTCTGTTCTTCAAATGGTAAACTTATAATGTTCTGCTCTAAAAATTCGATGCTTATCTAAACAAAAAATTTTAAAATATTATATATATATTTTTATATATAGTATTATATATATATATTTTTAATACATTTCAATAAAAAAAAAAAAAAAATTATAGATTAATAGTGAATGTCTGGGATTAAATTTTAAGAGAGGTCTTCTTTTACAAAACATATGGGTTCAGAACCAGGGATTTTATAGTTATAAATAACTTTTTCCGGTAATAAAGGAAGGTTTTAGAATAAGAAAAAAGTTTTGGGGAAGTGTCTTTTCTACTAAACTTTATAACTTAAATTTATAACTAAAACAAACACAAGTTCAGAGCTCTCCACAATTTTAGAACTAATAATTTAGAAATTCCCTATAAATTTGTTTTAATATAACAGTATTTTTTTATTTTATATATGGTATATAGATTTGGGATATATTAGGATATATTATTAACATTTCTTAAAAAAAAGCTGACTTAACCAATAGCTCCAAAACTTTCTGTAATAATTAGTAGAAGAAATATTCAAAAAGAGCAATAGAAAAAATTTCTCAAAAAGAGAAAAATACATAGAATCAAATCAAATTTATGTTTTGAAATTGTTTTAAAACTTAATTTTTTTTATATGTAATTACAATTCATGATTATTTGATTAATAAGACTCTACATGAAGTGTGTGTGTGTGTGTGCTAAATTTTAAATTCATAAAAATTGTTAAAAAATGTGAAATAAACATTACTTAAAGTTAATGAGAACGTCAATCATAAAATCAATTGGAGTAAAATTTCAATGACTTAAAGAAGACCCGTGATCATTCTAGTGTGAAGTAAAGATACATTTAAGTACTTATTCATATATCTTTTTAATCATTTTTTATCTGATTATTTGTTTTGGAGCTAAGCATGATTAAAATGAAGCAAAATATGAAAGGTTAAGAGCCTTGACAGTAATATATATATATATATATATATATATATATATATACATATATATATATATATATATATATATATATATATATATATATATACATACATATATATATACATATATATATATATATACATATATATATATATACATACATATATATATATATATATATATATATATATATATATATATATATATATATATATATATATATATATATATATATATATATATATATATATATATATATATATATATACATATACATATATACATATATATAAAATATATATATATATACATATATACAAAATATATATATATATATATATATATATATTGTAACATAACTCAGAGTTTTACGCTTTATGCGATCATCAGATGTTACAAACAATCATAACAACAACAAAAATTATATACAAAAATGCAATACAGTGTTAGCTTAGATGATGTAAAAGTTGCAGAAAACTATTTTTTTTCGTGTCGACATTTTGGATATTAAATAATTGCATTTATTCAATAGTTTCAAAGATGAGGTAATGATATGATATTTTTCCATTAAACAAAGGTTATATGACTTTCTTGTAGGTTTAAATGGTTCCACCCTATCAATAATCTTCAATGTAAGAATAGGATTTGAAAATCCCTTTTTTTCATTTCTCAGATATATTTAGAAAATACTGTGACATTAGCTTTACTTTCGTGTTGAAAAGAGTTTTTTTGTTTGTACCAGTGATCTTTAAAGGTGTGCTCCATTAAACCAATATAATTCAAACCACTATCCTGTGGTGATGTTTTTACATCGCAGACATAAATTATATTTTTACTAAGACACATACCTTGCAAATGACACTGTGAAAGTTGCTGACAGTTACATGTTGGAACAATTGTGTGGAAACATCTTAATACTATTGGTAATGTTTGGAAGACAGCTATAACTGACTTTTAAATTATTCCTATTAAAAATTTTGAGAAACTTGTGTTTTTTGAAAATGTTTTTCAATTAGATTTAGAAATTTTTTTTGTGAGGTTGGTTTTTATATTTTGCGAAAACAGAGGATTAAACCAAATAATGTTTCGTGATCTTGATTTTGGTTTTGATGAGGCAAGATTTTTTGGAAAGTAATCTTTTCATTATACCCACTTGCTGCTAATGTATTGTTATCACATAATGCTGCTCTATGGAAAACCTTCTTGCTAGATGAAATATTGCTAATATAGTTAGATTTCATAGTTAGTATGGATTTAATAATACTAGGGGAGTGGTTAGAATTTATGTTGATGTATAATGGGTGGTCACCAGGTTTTCTGTATGGCTGGAAAGTATTTTCTAACAGGTTGAAGGTAACATTGAGAAAGTTTACAATTAAATTGGTTTTTATTGTAAGTTGTAGATTAAATTTCTCCTTAAAAAGATGACAATGTTTTTCTTAATTCTTTTGGATTATGGCCATGAAAACAGCAAAAGCCGTCATTTCTATATAATCCAACGGTATGTAACCTATAGCCTTGACTTATAATATTAATTATAAATATAACTTATAAATATAACTTCCCATAATGACATCAAAATTAGGATCACTTAGGACCATTTGGGTTGCAAACCGTTAGATTATATAGGAATGATGGTTTTTGCTGTTTTCGTGGAATTAATTGACCACAATCTGAAAAAATTAAGAAAAACATTGTTTTAAGGAGAAATTTAATCTAAAACTTACAATAAAAACCAACTTAATTGTAAACTTTCTTGATGTTACCTTCAACCAGTTAGAAAAGAAAGAATAATACAAAGTTATAAACACAAAGCTAAACTTTTTGTGTTACAACAAAAAATATTTCTATGACAAAATAAAATTCTTTGGCTTTTGTTAATTAAAACTTAAAAGATATGTATAATTTGAATAATAAAGTTAAGATCAACAATCAAGACAACACAAACAACGATTTTAACTTTATCCCGAAACATTCAAGCTTGTTTTAAATTATTCAACATGACAAATTTCAAGACAACTGACAAACCAGATATTTCAAATGCTATCTAGTCACAATTTGTGTGTATTTAACAAAATAAAAAAATGTATAAAAAGAAACCTGAGGTAAATAAAAAACTAATAAATATTTTGGTTAATTATAATTTTTGTGTTCTTATTTGACAATAAAATTTGTAATTTTAAGCATATTTTTTACTTATCTTAAGTTTATAAAGTCAAAGTTTAGGAAAAATTAAATAAAAGAAATTAATTACATAACAGCATATGATATCAAAAATAAATTCAAAGTAACTTAATTCAATTATAAAAAATGGTTTCAAAAACAGATCATTTGGTCAAGTTATAAGTAAATTTATTGCATTTCTTGAGTTAATGTTTTCTTATCAAATTAAGTTATGTTTCAAAATCAGCTTTTTATGATGTTAAAGTTATATAGTAAACTTAAAATAACTAACAGATTTACTAAAACAGAATTACTAAAACTTTTATTACTTTTATTTTTAAATACTAAAGTTTGAAAGTACAATATTAACTGACCCATTTAATTTTTTCTGTTGCTGCTTTCATATTATTATAGTAGTCAAATTGTTGCAAACACTGATCTAACTTTTCTTTTTCATGTCTTTTTCGTAGCTTAAAATTGATGTCTGAGATAAATGTTTCTGATTGCGATATCTTTTTATAAAAAGAAAATGTGAGTTTAGCTTATGAAAAAAATAAACAAATAACAATAAAATAATTTATTAAAAACAATTATTACAAAGTTGTCTAGAATTTCTTTTTCTTTTTCATCCTCACTTTCTTTTCGTATATTTTTTAACAATAATGGATATCGAGTCAGTCTTTGCATCGGTTCTGTTAGAAGATCTCTTAACTTCAATCGATTGCATCGAGGAAGGTTTTCACACCACTGCAAGCAAAAAGATTCATGCAGTCAACAAGGTAGTGTCTAATTCATAAAAGACTAAACACTACAAAACGCTCTCAAAACAATAAATATAATAACTTTGATAGTATAATAAAAAATTTGAACTAATTATAAAATTATTCATAGTAAAATTTTTGAATTTAGATGAGAAGCAGATTTAAATTACTCCAAATAAAATAACTAGATATTCTATAACTGATTTTTTTTTAATTACTTTTTTTTGTAATAAAAAATAAATTCTACTTTTCATTCTTTTTTAATATATTATTTTATTAATCTTATATTATTAATTTTAGAACTATTTCAAGTTATCAAATTGTTTTTCTTGTTTTAAACTAATTTTCTTTTAAATCCTACATTAATTATATAAAGTTACAATTTCTATAACAATTTTCTATAAAACTTTAATTACTCACATAATTTATAAATCATTTATTAATTATGTTCATATTTAAATTCCTTAATTTGTAAGCTTTAACTTCAAATCAAATTTAGAATTTTAATTTAATAAATAGTTTTGACATTAACTATATGCGTAATTAAAGTACTATAACATGTTTAACACCCCAGGCCAATGGGACCAAATTAAAGGTTTTAATTGGTAAAAAGTAAACTTGTTTGATTGTTGAAACTCCCATTTCCTACTTCATTACATCATCTTAAAAAATAAATAAATAAAAAAAATACAATAAGTTTTACAAAACTCTCCATTTTATTATCTCCATAATTTTATAGTAAAAGTTAATTACTTCTAAATACTCATTAAATGCTTTTTGTGTTTCATTTCTTTTTGCGACATTTGATTCAGAGAGGCTTCGAAGGTAACTAAGTGCATCATCTTGAAACAGTGAAAACTCTATGTATGGCTTGAATAAATTTCGAAACTAAATAATAAAAAAAAAAGCATAATTAATTCTGCAATCTACTGAAACATATATTACTTATATATTATGTTTTCCTATACTTTTCTTTATAAACTTGTTAAAAAATTTAGAACAAAAAATTATACAAAATATTGAATAAAATTTTGTTTGAATTTTCAAATTTTTTTTTGTTTTATTAAAATTATTATTAAATAAGTAAAGTGTAATAAATGATTAGGCCCTAAAAAATTATATCCAATAGAATTTAAGAAAGCTAGCTTTTGAATTTTGAAACATATATCTACTATTTTTAACAACATGAATTTTAAAGTTTTGAAGCGATTTAATACCACAAATATTGAAAGATGCAACAACTTCACCAATCAACTCAGTTCTCCGCGCAGCGGCCTTGCTCGTCAAGGTTCGTGTTTCGCAGTTATAGAGTTGAGAGAGGGTTATAACCACAAATAAGTAGCCTCCTCGTCTGTAGTGGCCTTCTCGGCCTTGACGAGGTGAATTAAGATAAAAAAAAAATATTTAAAAAAGGAGACAGATCAAAAGCCATTAATTCTATCAGTCTAACTTACATCTTAATGAAATTTTTTGAAAGAATAATACAAAGTTATATTATAGCACACCTAATTAACAACAACTTATTAAGTCCACACCAACATGAACTTTGCCCAGGTCACCATAGACAAAGAGTTGTTTTAAATAGCACTTACTCAAATTGGGTTTCCATTAAAAGTGGAGTTTTCTAAGGCTCTGTCCTTTCTGAGTTGCTTTTCATTATTTATATTTACCATATCCCTTAAGTAATCAAGTCAAAAGCAGCACTTTTTGCTGATGATACTAAAATCTTTCGTTCTCTTAAAAATACTCAATCTCTGCAAGAGTTACAAAACAATGCTCTTGTTATATAGTCTCTAATATGGGGAATTAAATTTAACACTGATAAATGCTCTGTACTACACTTTAAACAAAACAACCAATTCCATACATACACTATGCATTATTTAGATCAAAACAAAAGCATTAGCATTAAGCCCACAATTTGTGAATGTGTTTTAGGTGTTCACATAGACTCAAATTTATTAATTTTAAAACACAAACAGTCAACAAAGCAAATATATAAGTCATAAGCAAATATTCTGTCACAAATATTCTGATAAAAAGATCATTTTTATCTTACCTTATTTTATTTTATTATTATTATTCAATGCTTTATTTTAAATATAAAATAAAGCTCAATAATAAAGAAAGTAAACAACTTTCTAACTAGAGCGGTATATATATATATATAGATTTATTTTTATTTACATATAGAAAAAACAACTTTTCATGGGACTAATAGTTTCATACCTATACGGCAATCATCAGCCATGTACTATATAAAAAACAAACAAACCGTTAATAAAATTACAAAATACAGTGGAGCGACGTCTGACGTCTCTATAGAGATAAAAAAAGAAAACGTCAATGAAAATCTTATATAAATCAGCTAATTGCCAGTATCATAAAATGAAAGAAGGGATTTATCTTTATGCCTACAATTTGAAACCAACTCGAAAACTTGAAATCAACCTCACTCAAAGCCCGATAACACTCTTAATTATATTCACGCCGACTCTAACCACCCTCCGTGCATATTAAAAAGTCTACCGCGAACAATTGAACTAAGATTGTCTACTGCATCTTCAAACAAAAAAATTTTTGAAAAAGCTGTTTCTCCATATCAGGATGCATTAATAAAATCGGGTTTCTCATCCAACCTCAAATATCAGTCAGATATAGTTCCCACTAAAAATAAAAATCACAAATGAAACATTATTTGGTATAATCCCCCGTATAGTAAAAATGTTGCAACAAAAATGGGTAATCTTTTTTTAAAAATAATTGATGCAAGCTTTCCTGTTGGTCATTTATTACACAAGATTTTTAACAGAAACACCATTAAAATTAGCTACTTGTGTATGCCGAACATTAAATCAGTCATTAATTCGCATAATCAAAACATTTTATTCAATCATGAAAAAACAACAACAAAAACTTGCAACTGCATCAATAAATCTACCTGCGTTATGAACAACCAGTGTCTAAGTAAGAACATTGTGTATCAAGCTACTGTTTCATCCAATAAACCAGATTACACAGATAAAGTTTATATTGGTATTAGCGAGACCCCTTTCAAGTTAAGGTATACAAACCATTTAAAATCTTTTAATTTAATTAAGTACTGTTTTTTCTATATGTAAATAAAAATAAATTCATATATATATATATATATATATATATATATATATATATATATATATATATATGTATATATATATATATATATATATATATATATATATATATATATATATGTATATATATATATATATATATATATATATATATATATATATATATATATATATATATATATATATATATATATATATATATATAATCAATACTCATTTAAAAAACTATTCTCAGCTCTAATCTGCCCTCATTTAGAATATTATAGGTCAGTCTGTACCCCCTAGCTTCCCAAAGATAAATGGAAAACATATTATGAAAACCTTTTAAACGAATTAGAGGCCTAAACGATCTCATTAAACAATCAAATTTAAGTACTAATTTAAGTTAAGAACTATATTCTAACTGTAAATGTGCTTAAGCCTATAAATCTAGTAATTATTAGGAAACAAGTATTCACTTTTTTTTCTTTTTTTTTGTTAAACAATTACAGTTTTAAAAAATGTAAAACTATTGGTTAATTTTTTGCATACAACTTCTATAGCAAATTTAAAATTCACTAAATGTCCAATTAAAACCAGTTTGGAGAGGTTAAGGTTACAAAAAATAAAGTTGAATTGATTTAATTTTATTGTCTCTTATATTCCAAACAAACATTTGTATGACTTATCATGTATTCTGGGTAAATATTATTGGTATTGTGGGTAAGATAACTGATGTAAGAAAAATGAGAAAATTCTTTTTAAATTTTGTAAATAAAGGTACTATTATAAAAAAATATAAACCTTTTTGTATATAGTAAGCGACCGGGGTTGATATTTGACCGGGGCCGAGTTTGATAAAACATAGCCGGGGCCGGGTTTGTGACCGGGACTGCATTAATATTGATATTCCTTATAAATATATTATTGTTATTTAAAATTCATGATATATTTTATATAAAGGTATATATATCATCTCATTGTCATCGTCATCATCATCATCATCATCATCATCATCATCATCATCATCATCATCATCATCATTATCATCATCATCATCTACATCATCATCATCATCATCATCATCATCACCATCATCATCATCATCATCATCATCATCATCATCATCATCATCATCATCATCATCATCATCATCATCATCATCATCATCATCAAGCATACAGTTGATGATGATGATTAAGATGATTCTGATGATGATGATGACAATGATCATCATCATCATCTTAATCATTGGCATCATTATCATCTTTTCTGATACACACTATAAATATAATTACTACTCTCATACCATCTCTAAGATCATTGCTTTTTTTCCTATTTTTTAAAGACACCATATATCACAGAATCATTAGAATCAGAGGATTATCATCTTTAAATAATTGCAGAAAATATTTGTTTGAATTTTTATTTATTTAATAATTTTATTTGTTGGATATTACTTGTTTTTAAATCAATTTCTTAAAAAAATCAATTTTTTTTTTGTCTTAAACTTGCTTTTTTGAGGGCCTCAAGAAAGTGAGCTCATTAAAGTGACCCCGCCAACTACCACACTAGTGCATCCAAACCACTCAAACTTCTATTCTATTATAATTGGTACTCGGATACTCATTAAAGATTGAGAAAAATCACAGAATCATCAGAATCAGAGGAAGAAACTATTATAAAGTAAATTATTATAAAGTGTCTTATTTCTTATTTGTCATTGTAAATATTTATGAATTATATTATATTTGTATATATTATTTTTGTGACTTTTTCTTATATTTCCTTAAACTTTAACAAAAAATTTCAACTTAACAAATTTTAAAAAAAAGCAACAAAAACAACAACAACAAAAATTCAGCCCCGGCTAGTAACCCCTGCAAATTGCGTTTGTTTAGCCGGGGCCGGGTTTGCAAAAACCTCTGTTTTTAGCCAGGGCCAGGGACCCGGTCACTTACTATTTGTATAGTAGAGTATAATTTAGGTGTTACACACATGTATTTGTATGTTGTTCTTAAATATGAAGGACAGGCAAGTTTTTGCATGGATGGTTTGCAAGAATTTCGAATAATGTTAATAATTAGTATTTAACTGTTTTGAAATTGCATCCATTATAAGATCTTATTACAGCTAAGACCAATATTTTTGGTACTTTTATAGAAACTTATTTTCTTAAATAATATTTGCTTTCAAAAAAAAAATGTATAAAAAAGTAGAAAAAACTTTTTCTTTGGTTAGAAAGTTCAATCAGCTCCATAAACTAAAATCACCAGATTGTACATGCTACCTAATGATACATGATACTTGGTACACCTGGTATGATTGTATATATAAGATATAAAGTAATTATTTAGGAATATAAATCACATTAATCTTCATATTTATTTTCCTTTTTGTGGAAGTTAAATGCTAAACACTAACACGTTTATTTTTATTGTATTTTTAAAAAATTTCAAAATATAAGTTCTGATATGTCCTTTTTGAATTAAAAAAATGTTTATTTTTTTCACTAATTTCTCACTCTTCGACAACTTTCTTAAATTATTTAAAAAATAAACAATCACATTTTACTGTAGAAAAAATTATTTTTTTGTCAACACCTATTTTTGAACACCGTTGCACTTGTTGTGCAAACTCTATTCTTTGTTTTTTAGTAACCCTCAAAATAATTATGATTGGTTACAGCCTTGTTTGGAGTGAATTGGATTGAAAAAAGTATCAAAAATTTGAAATTTCATACAAGATTATAAGACTATTCCTTTTTTGAATTGTTTTAAAATTTTTGCCTTTTAAAAATTTATGTACAGCTCAAGTTGTAATCATTTTAGAATCCGCTTTTTTTTTACAAAATCTGTTTAGATGGAATGATGAACTTTAGAAACTTTACATGTTTCTTTCGAATTTCACACCACTAAATTCAAATTTTTCTGCTGCAAGCTTTTGTGAAACATATTCCCCAAATTTATTTTAGAAATGGCAGAAGAATGTTTTCGGACTGGAGTATTGTGTTTAAATTCCAACTCTAAATGATGATTGCTAAAGTACCAAAGAAATAAAATATCTTATTCAAAAACACAAGAAATACACTTGGACTTTTGCCTTTAAAAAACAAATTTCATAACCCAAATGTATGATAAAAATTATTCTCAAAAAATTATATAAAGACTTTAAAAGGGAGTTACCAATAAAATAAGCTTTGGGGTTTTCTAATTAAATTAAGTCAAAAAATATACTTTTGACAAAATAGCCTTGGTATGCTGTCTTGCAAGCAGATTAATAAAGCAGATTTTCTTCTAACTTTGATGCTTTGAATTTGATGGAATACATCTGCTCAAGCACAATCTGATTATAAAATAAAACCATTACAAAACTATTTTTTGCCTGCTATGTAAATAGGTTTTTTAAAAATTAAAATGAAAAATTCATTTTAGCAATATAATACATGATATCCTAGAAATTATCTAAGTGGTTTTATTAGATATTTCTGATTTTAAACAATATTATAAAGACAGTGTTTGTATTTATTTGTTAATATATTTATAAAAATAGGACATGTTACAGATTATGGTTAAGCCCATACTTTGTTAATTTTCTGTTATGTCTGAAGCAGTGTTAAACATGTTTATTAGGAATTTCATTTCTAGATAAATGAAGCCAAAAGAGAGAATAATAACTTTATAAGTTTAAATGAGTGAAGCTTCTAGTGAAATATATTTTTTGGTTGTTGAACAAAAATTAGTAACAAATGAGATTTAATAAATCAAATGAGTTAAACACAGTACCAAATTTAATGATAATTACAATTTCATCATATCATTAAAATGATCAAATAACTAAAATATCTCATTATTTTTTCCTTAATTTAAAAAAAAAAGTTTTTTATGTTTTTAATTCATACTAAAGTAATAAAAAAGCAAAAATAATCACACTCAATATAGTTAAGACGAACCTGTAAAATTTAAATCAATTTTTTCTATAAAAATCTCATTTTTGACAATCTATAACTTAATAATGAAATAAATGAATTATCTTGTTCCATAAAACTTCTTCTGCTATTGTATTAAAAAATTTCCTTAAGATTTTTTTATTTTTTTTTTTTATACAGAATTTAAAACTTTTAAAAAGTCTTTTTTTGAACTTCTTTAGGATTTGGCTCAGTTGGTTTGCTCCAAATTAATTTAAATAAAATTAAAAAATGTCCTTAATTTGGACATATTTATAGATCAAAAGAGGTGGAACTTTTACAAAGTGTTCAAGTCTATAAATTTCCTAAAAACTATGTTGTTTTTTTCACTCAAAGTTATGTTCTCCACTCATAAAGTAAAAGTAAACAAGTAACTATATACTGGTATTTATAGATCTTTTTCTTCTATTTTCTTGAGGAACATTCTATTGTTTAACTGTCTTTGCAATAATTAAAAAAAACATAAAACTATATTATATAAAGTATTATAAATTTTTTTCCAGCCCCGGCTATCAACCCCTGCTAAATCTTATAATTTTGCTGGAGCCAGGTTTGCAAAAAGTCTTTTTAGCTAAGGCTGAGGCCCTGGTCACTTACTTCTAAAAATAGCATCTAAGAACTTGAGATTTTTCAAGTCTGGAAATTAAAGCTAAAGTTAAGATTTCATAATATACCTCAATTATATTATATTAAATTATATAACATAAAATCTTAATAGGCATATTACATTTTAAATAAATTTTAAAAGGTTGCTTGTAGTCCACAGTAAGATTTTAGGTGTTTTCCTTTTAACAGTCAAATTAATTATCTTGCAGACCAGATATTGTATGGAAGTATCTTTACTGGTAAATAAATAACCAACTGACTGCAATTTCTTGAAAACCACCTTAACCACAATGAGTGCTTATGTGATTATTTTTCCTTTTATTTCCTGTTCCTGACCTTAATTTCTGTGCCTAAAATAAAATTTTTTTGATGTTCATGAAAAATGAAATGTTCATGCAACAAGAATAGTCAAGCCTGCATTGTCGGGAGTATGTCATCCATCGATGGCTAACATGTTTAAAATGAACCGTGACTCAAACCTTATTGTTAAAAAAGCAGCAAACCGAAAAGGAAGTAAAGGCTTCAATATTATAGGGGCCAATATATTTAACAGAGTTTTTTCCTAATATATTCATTGTGTTATGCCATGGGCATGAACTATTCAAGCAGTGGAAGAGGAACCAGAAATAAAAAAGTTTACTGATTTTATTATATTATTTATAAAGTGTTGTAATTATAAAGGCAAAGTCGTTCAACTGTTGAGTTTAAATAATAATAAATAATAATAATAACAATAATAATAAAAATAATAATAATAAAGCATACAAAAAAAAATTAACCTGTGCAAATGAAGCAAGTAGTTCGGTTGATTTAATAGGTTGTTTAGTCTCTCTAGCTTTATCAATGACTTCTTTCAAATTACGCGACCAAAGAATTTCATTAGCTGATAGAACATCCCTGATATTTGCAAAAAGTTTATTTTCATTTATGTCTAATAAGTCTCCTTCGTTTTGTATTATCTTTATGAATTGTTGAAACACCTAGAATACAACAATGTTTAATGGTGACAAAAAACATGTTTGTGAGAAATTAAAATTACTTTTGGTAGAAAAAAATATTTTTATTTAAATGCTGGAAAATTGTAGAAAACCAGTTTAACAAAAAAACAATTTTTATTTAAATACTGGAAAATTGTAAATAAACACAATCACTATTTTTCTGTAATATTAGGTGTACTTACAAATAATTATCTAAGTGGTAATCAGAAGAAATATTAAATTTACATCAATGAGCACAAGAAATATTTAATTCATGTAATACTATACTTCAATTTATTTTTAATCGATTATATAACCTCTATCACTATCTAGGGTCATTTTTCCATCTTGTTGGTAGACTTTAATTCTCTTTTTATAAAATTCAGTATTCTTTGAAATAAAATATGTATTTAGGCAAGTTTGAATAACATCAAAATTTAAAACATTTTTATTCTCCAGGTAGTGTTCCATAGACTGAAATAAATAAAAACACCTGGGTTATTTTACCAATAATTGATTGTGCCTTCTATCCTATTGTTGGCAATTGAAACTGGGAGTAACTATTGCTGAATTTTATTGTCAACAATTAAATAGATTGCACAACCAATTTTTGTTTTAATGACCAGGACAGGTCAACACGGTAATATTGCAACATATCTCCTGGCTGCATGCAGCAAATATTAACCCAAGAAAAAAATAAGGCAGATAAACTATGGAACTTCACAACACCCTCCATATTCCCTAAACAAAGCACCATCCAATTTTTATTTATTTTCCTCCATAGAACACTACTTGAAAAATAAAAGTTTTAAAAATATTGATAATGTTCGAACTCATCTAGAAGCATATTTTTCTTTAAAGGATACTAGATTTTATGAAAAGAGAATTAAAAGTCTACCAACAAGATGGCAAAAGGTCTAATAACAATAGAATTTATATAATCAATTAAAAAAATTTTGTGAAGTTTAATTCTCTAAAAAAATTAAACTTAATTATTTTGTTGCCATTTAATTAACTGATTACTTATGGGTATACCTAATATTAAATAAAACTATTTTTTGACTTAGTGTTTTGCATAGTAAAGGATAATGCACTTAGAGGATATTGAGGATATTACTTAGAGCACATTCAATCACTGATTATTTCCTTGAAAGTAATATTCAACTTATGCCTTGGCCAACACAATCAACTGACTTAAACGCAATTAAAAATTTTAGATTGGATTGAATGGATTATCAACTAACAAAAATAATCTTATAAAAGACAAACTTTCATAAATTTTTTGTTCACATGCTATAATCATCAGAATTTATTGCAAAGCAACATTTGGTATGAGTACAAAAATATACATGTTTAGCTTTTGCCGTATGCCTGAAAGATAGCTCAAAAAAAATTGCATCTATCAAATACAATCTATTTATTATATACCTCAACAATAATTTTCAGCTTTAAAATATAGTTTCTTTCAGTTGATAAAAACTCCCATAGTGCTTGTTGCTGAAATCGTGACTTCTTCGTTAAATAGAAATGATCAGAAATTACATCAGACCAGGAATTTTCTAAGAAATAATTTTCAATTTGTTCAGTTGGTTGTTGATTATTGTTATCAAACACCAGCGCACTGTATAAAGGAATTCGTTCAGCAAAGCTTGATGCAACCTAAATAAGACACCATGAACACAAAACTTATTATAGAAACATAGAATTTACTATAATTTTATATGAAGATTTAAGATTTTTGATTCCTTGAAGAAAATATGTTAACACATAGTTACAATTGTCTCAATTTTGCACAAAAAAAAAAAAAAAATGCAAAAATAAAGAACCACCTTTGATTTTTTTTGCTGGATCTAAAAAAAAAATTTAAAAATTTACAAAAATAAAAATTCATTTTTTAGGAACTTTAAAAATAAATGAATGTAACAAGCATTTAATTAATAGCAGAATCAGGATTTTTTAGTGTTCCTAATTCAAGAGAACATCCAAGTATTTTGCAAACCTTAAAATTCCCTTCAAAGCTACAAATTAATATGAACAAATCCGAGCCAAAAAAACCATCAATGCTAAAAATGGCATTAAATACAGTATCATACTGTTTTTAATGCCATTTTTTGCCATACTTAGTATTTGAATAAATAAACGTTGAATAATTTGGAGAACTTTTAAAAATCTAATTTAATAAAAAAAAACAAAAACACAGAAACTAGTTAAATTAAAAGCCTAAATAGATTAAATTCAATAATGCCAATCATTACAAACATCTAATGAAAAATGAAAGTATTCGGCAATATCAACTATCTCATATCTCATCAGCAATTTTTAAACACCCCTATATAGTTATAAAGTTACGTTACGTCTCAATCGGTTACAACTGGTAACAAGGTTACATTCTAACCTTTTAATTAAATGTTAAGTAAATAAGTTTAATAATGCAATAAACGTTTGTTTATCATAGCCTTATTGCAAAATATCATCTTTTATTATATTTTTATTGTAAAATAGCTTCGCATCCATTCGTTGGTGACTTTGTCACAAAAAAAAAAAAAAATTAAATTCGCAACCTTAATTTTTTTTTTTAACTTTTTAAAGTGACAACAAATGAGACGTAACGTAACGCAAGTAAATCTAGTTTGGAGACGTAACATAGATTTTTTAACACTACGTTACACCCCAATTGGTTACACACTTGAATCAAAAATTTGATTCAAGATACGATTCGAAAATTTTTAAAAATCGAATCCTTATTTTGTTTTCGTTGTGGATATTTTAGATATTCTGCGCTTTGGCGCTATCAAAATAACGTTACTTATCTTTAAATACCTTTTTAATCAGTCCTTAAAAAGGTTAACAATGCAAGAAGCATCAATAAAGAGATTATACAATTGCTTTATTTTATGTTGATTCGTAACGTGATTCGAATCAGGAATCAAGACCTGCTTTGATTCAAGATTTGATTCGAAACAAAAACTGCCGATTCGCAGGGCCCTAAATGCAACGTTAAAAAATTATATTTGTAACGTATTTTAAACACGCTTGAATTCGTAAATGTTTTACGTAGCGTTGCGTCTCGAGCGCTTACACTTTCAAAGGTAATAAAAAAAAATTAGATCGCTTAAGTACCATAAGTTACTTAACTATTAAAGTTTTTTGTTGCGTCACTTTCAAAGCTTTAAAAGTTGTATTTGCCTTTAAAAAGTCTTTTTTTTAAACTAACCCACAATTTTACCATATTGTTTTTAAATAATATTGTAATTAAACAATTTTGTTAGATAACGTAACTCATTAATTATTATTACAAACGCATTGTTAAATATGTCCCTTCAGGCATTTGTTTTTGAAATTTACGTTCTAAATGTCTTTTAAACATTTTTTAAACGTCTTTTATACGTTCTTTAACTTTACGTAAGAATGTTTAGAAGACGTTTAAAATACATTAAAAATGCATTTAGAATGTAACTTCAAAAAAAAATACCCACTGGAGTAATTCATGAGTTACAATATTTAAAAATGCGTTTGTTGAGACATTTGTAGCTAAAAAATACTTTTTTTAAAAAACTTTTATAATTATTTATTTTTATTGTAAAATAGATTCGTCTTGACTATTTTTTTTTTTTCTGCTATTAATTTGTCACAAAATAAATAAAGTTTCAACTCGAAAAGTTACGTCTCAATTCTTATTTATAAATTTATAAAAGCGATTCTTTTAAAAAGTTTTTATATCATTAATCAAACACATTAATTAGTTTTAACCGTTTATACGTATAATACGCACATACTAACATCCAGAATGTATCTGTCCGCTTTCTTCCAACTATCTTTCTTACATGAATTCCGTCTATCACAAAGTCATAGCTTTTTGTCTATATATATATATATATATATATATATATATATATATATATATATATATATATATATATATATATATATATATAATATATATATATATATATATATGTATATATTTATATCAGTGTCGTGGCTAGGGAGTTGAAGGCCCCCATATCTGTAGACCTTCTACAGAAAGTACAGGAGCAGTTAACTTCTTTTAATTTTTCGAAATCAAGTTTGCACGCACTTTGATAAGACAACTCGTAATACTAGTTTATTGAGAGATTTTTTATTGAAATCTTTTGCATTTTTATCACTTCACAGCCTGTTAGCCTTAGAATATATTTTATTTCGATTCTAACCTTATTTTATTTTGAAAAAAAATTGCAACTACATTTTCGGTAAAAATTCAACAATTTTTAAGTAATCGAGTCTGATCAAAATATCATATTTTCACGGGTAAAAAAGTTATTTCGTCGAAAACAAAATGGCAAATCATTGGAATGCATAAAATGAAAATGAGCAATACAGCATACGCTTGGCATACGCTTAAATGTTTACGAATTCAGGGTTCGCATAGCAATAAAACATTACTTTTCATCTGGTTGTGTCAATGTTTAACCTCGTATTGGGCGTCCGAAAAAACTGTCAGCACGCGATGAAAACATGCTTTACACGCTAAGCAGACGCAACCCAAAAGCAGGAGTATAAGCTTTAAGTGCAATAATCAATACTTCGTTGGTAGACAAAACAGTTAGTCGAACGACAATAAGTAAGTTATTACGCAAGAAAAAACTAAGTTCGTTTCATGGTGTAAGAAAGCCTTTCTTGACGTTAATCGATCGCCAAAGGCAAAAAAATAATGGTGCAAAGAGTGTTTAAATCATTCAGTGGAACAATGGAGAATGATTATCTTAAAGTCGAATTTCGAAATTAAAAACTAAAGCACATTCAATTACTGTTTATTTTTTTGAAAGTAATATTCGGTTCATGCTTTAGCCAGCACGATCTCCTGACTTTTTTTTTTTTTTTTTTTTTTTATTTTTTTAACATCTTCACTTCCAACAAGGCTGCAAGCAACCACTATAAGAGTTGGAAGTTACTGGAAGAGAAAAGACTAAATCTGTAGAGCAAGATAACGATTGACTGATGACTTAAAAGATTGCAAATTATATGAATCAGGAAAGCAAGATGAAGGAAGCGAATTCCAAAGAACTGATGTTCGAGGAAAAAAACTAGAAGAATAAGAGTTTTTGAAGCACTTAGGAACAGTCACAGAAAAAGGATGAGACTTAATTGAATGGCGAGTAACACGGGAATGAATTTTAGTAGATGGCACAAGGGACGCTAGCTCTTTAGAGCAGTACCCATTGTAGTATTTGTAGAAAAGAGAAAGAGAAGCAACATTACGACGATGTGACAAAGATTGGAGATTGGCTGCCAGAGCAGGTCCAACTATGTTTACAATTCGTTTTTGCACCTTGTCTAAAAGAGAAAGAGCATCATTAGAAGATCCGCCCCAGATGTGGCAACAGTATTCCATACAGGGGCGGATTTGAGATTTATAGAGATAGAGAATAGAATCTGGAGTAAGAAAGTGTCGAGCTCGATAAAGAGATGCAACCTTAGCAGATGCTAATTTTGCAATGGATTTGATATACGGTTTAAAAGAAAGATCAGAAGTAAGAGTTAATCCTAGAAGATGAATGGTAGATGACTCATCTAGTACATTACCATTCATAAATATAGGAAGATCTAAATTATTACGATAACGATTGGCCGAATAAAATTGAGTTTTATCTGAATTAAAGTTCACCAGCCACTGTGAGCCCCATGCTGTAGCAGAAGTGAGATCCTTTTCAAGCTCAGCTACCCCCTCCAAGCAATCAGAGAGTGTAGGCTTCTTATCATGACAAGAGTAAATGGTAGTGTCGTCAGCGAATAATGCCACCTTAGACGTGAGAATATCTGGAAGATCGTTAATGTAAATTAAAAAGAGTATAGGGCCAAGGATTGAACCTTGAGGAACCCCTGAAGTTACAGGATGTGAAGAAGAGTGTTGTCCATTGAGGACAACTTTTATACTACGATTGGAAAGAAAGGACTCAATAATCTTAAAGACGTTACCAGCTACACCATAAGAAGAAAGCTTATGGAGAAGACCAGCATGCCAAACTTTATCAAAAGCTTTAGAAATGTCAAGTGCGATAGCCTTAACCTCTCCACCTCTATCTAATGCACGGTAAAACCTATCGGTTATTACTGTTAGCACATCAGCTGTAGAACGAGAAGACCGAAATCCATATTGATGATCAGAAAGTAAGTTATTTGATTCAAGATGAGAGATTAAGTATTTGTTGATTAAAGATTTAAAAACCTTGCTTATGACAGGAAGAAGACTAATGGGACGGTAGTTAGATGAATCAGATCGCTCTCCGGAATTTTTGAAAATAGGGATAACAGATGCTGCTTTCCAGCATGATGGAAAACAAGACTCTGATAAGCACTTGTTAAATAGTTTAGAAAGTATGGATGAAAGCTCTGGAGAACACCTCTGCAAGACTACAACAGGAATGTTGTCAGGACCACAAGCTGTTGAAGAGTCTAAGCAGGAAATTACTTTAGATACAGAAGCTGAAGTGATGCGAATGTCAAGCAAGGGATCAACCTGTTTGACGGCTATGTCAGGTAAAACGCAACTAGTGGAATCAAGAGATGATGTTGATGAAAAGTTCTTAGCAAACAATTCAGCTTTGTCTTTAGGTGAGGTGACAAAGTCTGAACGATACAAGAGAGAAGGAATAACAGGTTTGCCCTTATTATTGATAGTGTTAAAGATTCTCCAGAAGTCTCGAGAGCCTAATTTTTGTGATGAGAAACGAGATTTAATGACCTGGGAATAGCGAGCTTTGGCGTCAGACAAAACCTTTTTACAATGGTTTCTGGCGATAGTGAACAGATGTCTGTTTTCTGGAGAATTGTTTTGCTGATTTTTGCAGGGATTTGCAGAATTGTTGATTTTTGCAGGGATTTGCAGAATTGTTTTGACTTAAATCCTATTGAAAATTTATGGAGCTGAATGGATTATTAACTAACAAAAAAGCAAATATCTAGTCACAAAATGCTCAAACAAGAACTGACCAACTGTGGCTTAAAAACCAATGAAGATGATTGAAAACTTAATTGAATCAATGCCAAGACGAATATAAGCACGAATTTAAAATATTGGGGGTCATATCCCGTATTAATATATATTTCTATTAAAAATTGTAGGTTGCACGTTGTTGCACATTTTTCTCAGTAACTATTTGGTTACTTGAGTTTTATATTTAATTTCAGAAAAGATTTTGTGTTGTTTATTATTCAAAGTTGTGTTTTTTTCATATTTAATAATCGGCTAAAAAGAGAAAAAAAAACCTGAACCCTCGCGTATAGGTATATATATATATATATATATATATATATATATATATATGTATATATATATATATATATGTATATATATATATATATATGTATATATATATATATATATACATATATGAATATATATATATATATATATATATATATATATATATATATATATACATATATATATATATATATATATGTATATATATATATATGTATATATATATATATATATATATATATATACATATATGAATATATATATATATCTATATCTATATATATATATATATATATATATATATATATATATATATATATATATATATATATATATATATACATATATATATATATATATATATATATATATTATATATATATATATACATATATATATATATATATATATATATATATATATATATATATATATATATATATACATATATGAATATATATATATATCTATATCTATATATATATATATATATATATATATATATATATATATATATATATATATATATATATATACATATATATATATATATATATATATATATATATATATATATATACATATATATATATAAATATATATGTGTAAATATATATATATATATATATATATATATATATATGTATATATATATGTATATATATATATATATATATATATATATATATATATATATATATATATATATACATATATGAATATATATATATATATATACATATATATATATATATATATATATATATATATATATATATATATATATATATATATATATATATATATATATATATATATATATATATATATATGTATATATATATATATATATATATATAAATATATATGAGTATATATATATATATATATATATATATATATATATATATATATATATATATATATATATATATATATATATATATATATAATAAATAAACAAATGGTTAAATTTTTGGTAAATTGATACATTTAAAAATTATTTGATGAGTAATTTAAAAACTTCTATAACAATAGTATTGTTCTAAAAGTTCTTAAATTGTTCATCAGTATTGTCAATACTGATAAATTGGTATGCTATATAGAAGATTATCAGACTAATCAGGAAGCTGAAGGTAAATCATTAGTAATAAAAAATACTGATTATCCTGCTGAGGGAGAAACTTACAGTAGAAGCTTAAGTTAGATAAGTATTTTTCACTAATTTAGTAACAGTGATTATTTAACAGATCATATTTCAAGATTCAATTTCTTAGTACTTTAATTTTGTTGTGACAAACAGATTATTTGTAGAAGAGTCACAACAGATTTAAATTGATTGCTAGACAAAATCACAAACTTCACTTGCATTAAATTTAATAACTTTTTGGGCTAAATTTAAAAAAGTTACATTAAATTATATTAAATAAATAAAATGGCTAACAAGAAAAACTAATCAGTCACTAGTAAAAAGCGAAATTTCACATAAAAGACTAAACTGTGAGCAACAAGATAGAAGCAGCAAATTTTGCATAGTGTTTTTCAAAATACTTTATAGTAGGTTACAGAATACTTTGACAAACAAAGAGCTACCAAAATTAGCAAAACAAAGAGCTACCAAAATTTAAGAATTCTCTAGGCTAAAGAGAATTTTTAAATTTTGCTTTCTTGATTTACATTCGGCCTAAAGAGTATAGTAAAGTACCAGCAGAGTCATTAGATAAAATAACTCAACAACTCAATCAATGAAAAGGTTATAATTTTTTTTCCAAGATCAGCGAGAAAAAATAGAAAGAAAAAAATAAAATAATTAAAAATTTAATATGTAGTGTTTCTTTTTTAGAAATTTCATTCTAAATTTAGCTACATAATTTTTAAAAGAAAATGATTTCACTTATTAAAGTACAAAATATTGCACTCTCGTGATAATCGTTTTGCGGCACCTAAACATAATTTAGGAGATAAAAAACAATGTTTTTAAATCGCGGGGGTATCACGAATCGATTGAATACAAAAATAGCGAAAACAAAGCTTCGATTTGAATTCTTTCAAAATATATTACCAATTAAAGTTCAAAGCATTTCAATGGAAAAGAAAACTACGGTTTTTATTTACAAAAAATTTCTAGTTTACATAAAGTATAACTTTAGGCCATACATAAAGTTAAAAAGAAAAAACCGTTCAAGTTGACACGTTTAATTTGCTTTTATTGACAAAAGAACTTTGAATCTTACAGAGGTGTCGAGCCAGATGAAAAATCTTTTTCTCAAAAATTTTATTAAAAGTAATATTTGTCTCAAGTTTTAACACTTGTTCCAAAAAAAAAAAAATAATAACAATTTGTTTAAGTTTAAATATATCACCAATTAAAATTGAAATATTACTTAAAAAGTATACAAAAAATAGGTCAATGAAAAGAAATGAAATTCAAGCTTTTGGCTAGAGCTCTAAACCCCACAAACACAACCTTGAATTATAACAAAAAAACTTTACTTAATCGTTAATGTAAAACTGTTTAAGATCATAGCTGATAGTATTCGAATCTGTGGATTAAACTAGAAATGCAAAGTATTTAATTAAATGAAGTTTTATTAAACCTAATAATTCTTATTAAAATAAAAACCTATTGAAAATCTAAAAGTTTATTTGGGCACAGAGTGTTTGATACCTTATTTTATGAACAACTACAGAAAATTCACTTGGTAACTTATTTCCCTGTAGTTAATAAACATTTTTTATAAATATTAATGCTTTGAATTGACAAAAATGTTGTATTTAATGTTGACATAATTAAAATATTGATGTTGTCATTTTAATATGCTCTTGTTCTCATGTTAATGCGTAGTTGTGAATGCTTACACTACTGTATTAAATTACATTGTTCAATTTTATACATTTATGAGTTCATTCAAATCAAGAGTTATTGTACGCAACTTTAGATCTACTATTTTTTTAATTTTTTTTAGCGTTATTATTAAATTTTTATAATATTTTTGTTTCAAATAGTAGCGCAGTATTGATTTTTTTTTCCAAAAGGTAGAGTCGGTCATCTAACCTATACATCATTAGCTAAACTTTATTCTGTTTTTGAGAGTCAAAGTTTCTTCAACCTATCTGGAACCCCACTGTAATGCAACAAAGCTGTTTTATATAATTAACTTTATTTATTAAAGGTCATAATTGAATTTAAATGTTTTGAAACTTATTGATATACAGAGTGAGTGACATCAACAGCTTTTGAAATAAATAAAGTAAGTATTTTCACACCCGAATGTGACCAATAAGTCTCTAGTCATCACCCAAAATAGATTAAATTATTTTTAAGAAATTAAATTCACAAATTATTTTATAACTAATGCTACCCGTTGGAAAATCTTTGGTGTAACGCTGTTCATGAGATAAAAATCCGCGTTTGTACAGATAAAATTTTAAAAATAAGATCAATTAAAAAATTTGAAATATAAAACAAAGTTATTACTTAAAAAAAAAACACAAATATAAATAACTTTATGCTTAACTTACTTTGGTTGGAGATTTATGGGATTCTATAGGCATGCTTTTTTGTTTATGAACAAGAGGTATTGGAGGTGGTTTCCCTACATCTGAAGGTAGTGGAGATTCTTTTCGTCTCGGTGGAAGCTGTGGAGGCGTTAAGTCTGACTGTAGTGACTTTGAGATACTGCACGATTGTGATGGCGTAGAAATGTTGAGTGAATGTGACCTCGATGCCACCTGAACAGTTGCAGAAGCCATGCACTAAATATTTATACTTTATAAAACTAAAAGTATATAAAGAAAAAACAATTTTTTGTTATTTACAAAGTGTTTACAAAAAAGTCATTTATGAAACAACATGCATAAATGATTTTTTTTTTTCGCATTCATTTTAAGATCCACATTTTTTAAACTTGCTAAAAAAAAATGATATTCAAAGTATAAATGTGTATACTTGCCCCATTACAAATAAAAATTATTATTTATAAAAATGTAAACTATTCTTCTTAATATTCATCTTCATTTCTTGAGTTCATACATCAAGAAAAACGCCGATTAAAAAAAAAAGTTTTTTCACAACAAAAAAATAATAATAAAGAAGTAATAATAAATACTATCCTTAACTATTAACTGTTGGTTGATTACAATTAACATGATGCAAGCAAAAAAAACTATAATGTTAGTTTATAAACTGATTAGTCAAATGCTTATAATAGATTTTAAAACTTGGATTAATTGTTATTGTCTCTGTGCTTTTATCACTTTTAAATCATATTAATTTGAAATCGTGTCCTTCTCGCTGAAACAGTTTTTTACTTTACTTTTTTATAAAATTCACGCAAACTCCTTGTCTCTTTCTAATTTCCTTACGGTTAGTAGCATTCAAATTTATCGGAAAGTGTTTCAAGTATTGTGGTGTAGTCGTTTCCTCTTCAAAAAAATTTAATTATTATAAATGATTAAATTTTGTATATAGATTAATGCTATAGAAGTTTCCCTAAATTGCTTTGTTTTTGTTTTTGCTTTCACAAATATAGATTATGTCTTTCTAACTTTCTTACTTTTGTTGCATAAATATTATATGGAGGATGAAATAAAAAGTTTTTGTAAAATTGTTTAAAAAAAATAAGTTTTCATTTCACGTTCAACTTAGGTGTCATATATAATATCTTAGATTGAGCCGCGGACATAATAATTTTTGTTAAGATTGTGTAATAACTATAAAAATTAATTCCTTTTAACCTTTATAACATCATGTTAAATATTAAAATGGCAGCCTTCTTGTAAATATTAATGAAAATATTATGGTTGTTTGCATTTATTTAAATATTCAAATGATTTTCATTTGAATATAAAAAGCAGTCTAGAACATAGTAAAAAACATACGATTATTAATTTTAGGGTGTTGTTGCAACAGGTTTTTACGCTGTTACAACAAATTACCTGGTAAGGATTATACAAACATCAACAAATGCAAAAATTTGTTTCATAGTTTCATAGCACATTTAATAATAAAGTTATATGTTTTAAATTGCTATAAAATAGTTATAATTTCAATATACAAAAGAATTACGTAAAATAACAAACAAGATTGAATGATTTTGGTGTAAAGGTTAAGAGCATTTCTAACAAAAACAAAAAGTGTATATTTGTTTATTTTTAAATTTTACTACATTCTCTTACCAACGTATTTAAGAACATCTAAACAAATGGATGCATTTAAGCTTAAATTTATGCCATTAATAATATCATAGTTTGATAAATTAAAGTTTATCTATCAACTATTTTCAAAAAGTAAATATTTATTAAATAAATACACGATATTTGCTTCAATATCGACTCTTTTTTTTTTGTTAAGCAGATCTCATTACATTTTTCACGTAATAATCTCTATTATTAAAAATGTTTTGTGCGCATCCGAGTGTCATTCTATTTATAAATTAAAAGCTTAAGAAAAACACCGCGTAAGTTGTAGTGTACAAGCTGAAACACGTGAGAAAATCTAAACAAGTAAAAGGAATTAGCCGTCTGACGTTTAAGAAAAAAGAAAAGACCAAATGTAGTTAACTATTTTAGATAAATTTAAAATACAATAAGAATCGAATCAACATTTAAAATATAAGAAATAAGCTCAACCTTTGGCAGAATATATTGAGCTAAATAAAAATGATATTTACGTATCATTAGGCAATTATCGATATGAATGAACTTATGAAAATTAAACAGTTACATTAAAACAATACATAAACATTATTTAAATAGAAACTTAAATATTATTATGACACGGTCTCAACACCATATTTACGGTCCCAATGGACACGAGACGTAAAAAAGTCTTTTAAAAGTCTTTTGAACGTTTAAAAGACGTCTTTTTTTTTTAGGTCCTGTGCCCACAGGGGTATTATGATATAGTCTAAAAACCACTTTTACGGTATTTACTTTAGTAGTAATTTAAATTTTTAATTAACCATTTAAATTTTTTGAACACTTTTTAAATCTAAAAAATACAATTATTTTTAAAATATATCTGGAAACTATCAAAGTAATATGTCAAAACTTTTTTTATAAGTTGTTTGAAAGTTAGAATTTTCTAGACAAAGCTTTTTCTTTTAATTTTCTAAAAAATTTGCTAAAGTAAAATGTATAGAAATATTAATGCCATTTTTTGGAGATGCGAATATAGCCTCTTTATGTCTTCTTGATATGTTGCTGGTTCTTTATATGTCAAAGTAAAGAAGAAAAATATTGAAGAGGAAATTATCATTTAAGCAACTAAACGCACAATTTTGAATTTACCCTCTCTTCCTTTTGAATTTACCTTTCATCCCTTTTTGAATTTACCCTCCCTCCCCTTTTGAATTTACCCTCCCTCCCCTTTTGAATTTACCCTCCCTTTATTGAACATACTTTAATTATAATTTGTGTTCTTTTTGACTTAGTTTTTATTTATGTTTTTAAGCGTTCTTTTTTTCTTATCGAATTTGGTAAATCTCATCATTGTAGATATTACTTTCAACATCGGTATGAAAAATTGTTTTATAAACATTATGCCATTTTTAGTGAGTTTTTACTAAAATTTTGTTTATTAGCATCACGGAGTTAAATTTATTTAATTTATCATTATGATAAGATTTAAATGCATAAAACCTGTTCAAAGATAAATCTAAAACTGTTATCTTAGAAACGCAAAAACATTTTGTAACTTATTGCAATATTATGGTAAGCCTAAAGTTTATAAAATCAACACAGTAGCGTTATTAATGAGTGTCCAGGTGGTTTAATTAGTGACATATAGCTTAATTGGTTACAACGTTAAATAAAATATCGAAATATGTAAAAATTGTCTGACAACTCAGCGCCTAAAAAGTACTTTGGTACGCAAAATTCTTGGTCAATAACAAATGTTACGTTGGATAGCCGAGTAAAATTATTTGTAGCCGTTTCTTTGCTAAGTTATCAAAATAGTGTATAACAAAGTATACCAGAAAAATAAGTTAAATTAAATTATCGGGTTGAGCGAAAAACACAAAAAATATATAGCTGCGTTACTCTTTTTTCAAGTTAATGTTTTTAGAATTTGAAACATGTAGTGGTACATAAACATACTAAAATAAAATATTTGAGTTCTAGAATTCTTAATATTGAGATTAAAACCTGGGCTATCTTTAGAAACTTCCGGTTTTAAATCAGTTTGCCTATTTGATTTAAACTTTGACAAAATCTATATTGTGTCTTGTATGCATAAGTACCTAAACATTGTTTTATAATAATTGTTAATCTTTGTAACTTTTTTTATAATATAAATAAATCTAATTTTATCTTTTTAATTATTATTTATAGTTTTTTCGTTATGAACTTATTTGATATTAAATTTGTTTTCATGTTTCCCTTTATCTTATTAACATTTTTTCATTAAACAATAACATGTCTCATTAAATAATCTAACAAATAATATACGAGAAATCTTATTAAATAGTTATCTTATAAATAAAATAATTTCTTTTGACCCCTAGTGAAAAACTTTAAAAATAATTTTTTTCCATTTAAGTAAATTTAAATATAATTTTAAACACGTTTCACCGCATCAAGTTTAAGCAAAAAATAATTCAAAGCAATTTTGCATAGCTCTTGCCTAAATCTGCATAAGTATAAATTAATATTATCGTTTTAAAAAATTATTTGTATTATGTTTGAGTAGTCAAAGGTTTGTATTAAATAATGGTTTACTTCATTATGCTACTTACTAGTAGTATGCTAGCTTAAAAAAGCATTTTTCTTAAGCAACTTTATTTTAACCACAAGATTTCTATTTATCTACATACTAAATTGTATGCAACAAAGTGACCTCCATGTTCAACGTCAAAAAAAAAATAGTTTGACGTAAACAACTAAACCAAGAGAACAAGTTCGCTTAATTATTTAAATGAGTAAAGGAGTTACTATATATTACTTTGTATACAAAGAAATCAATGGTGTAGTCAGAAAAGTTGAAAAACAAAATAAAATGTGTGTATGTGTGCGCGTGTGTGTGTGTTTGTGTGTGTGTGTATGTGTGTGTATGTGTGTATGTGTGTGTTTGTGTGTTTGTGTGTGTGTGTGTGTGTGTGTGTGTGTGTGTGTGTGTGTGTGTGTGTGTGTGTGTGTGTGTGATGGAGTTGAGACCATTTTTTCCATACAAAATATCTAAAAAAATGTTTGTTTAGATTTTTAGTTTAGGGCCGACTCGACCCACTAAGTTATTTGTTGAAAAACAAAGTCGTTCAAAAAGAAAAGCATTTTAATTTAATCATGAATCTATATTCTTTATTACTTTCTCCATTATTTAATACAAACCTTTGACTACTCAAACATTTTTACACTATGTAATATCCTAACATACCCAGAACAATGAAAGTTTACAAGCTTTATTTGTTTGCGTTTTTTGTACAACCAAGGGTGCTTACTTTGAACTCAGCATCTTGACTTCTAATTTAATCTGATTGTATGATTTAAAATCATGTTGCTTTTTAGTAATAAAAACACTTCTAATTTTTCTTATAACAAGATTTTTTAGTATGTCAGCTATTCTTTTGCGTTTATTTTCACTACAAATACTTATTTAAAAACAGTTGACATTTTTGTGCAAAAAGCGGTTTCTTTCATAGTAAATCTCTTAGAGAAACATAGCCAATTAACATAACTTCATGAATTATTGAAATTGCGTATATATATACATATATATATATATATATATATATATATATATATATATATATATATATATATATATATATATATATATATATATATATATATATATATATATATATATACAGGGCCGTCGCTAAGAGCTTTTTAGGAGAGGGGGTGAAAAGGCGGTTTTGCCTACAAGGCCTTAAAATAAAAAAAATTTAAAAGAACCTCGTTTGTTAACATTTGCCAACTGCCAGATAAAGATCCAAATTTACCAACTATTTTTTAAATAAATTTTCTAGGGGGTTTGACACGCCCAATGCCCCCTTACCCTTGGGATGTTTCTGAATATACATGCAAATATATATATTTGTTACAATATAATTTTCAGCCGAGACAAGGCACAGACTGATATTTGAGTTAAACCTTTGCCTAATTGTTCCATCTCTGCTTTTTTTTATTATAAGCTTAGATCCTAAACTTACTAAAATTTGCAACTTTGTAAATGCATTCTTTTAAATGGAAATATATATTTTTTTAATTTAATAATGTGAAGAAAAAAAAACGATGGCATTAAAAAAGCAATTTTTATGCATAACTTCATTTATTTATATTTCTGAAATTCTTATATTTATTTATTCAATATTAACTTTCAGCCCTAAATAAAAAATAAATGATAAAAGTGCTGAAATTTAAAAGAATCAAAAAATTTTTAAACGAAGTAGTTTTTAACTTCATCATTATTTATTATAATGTTTGCATTTATTAAATAGTTATTTTGTATATAAATTAATGTATTTAATTTATTTACAGCAAAGAACCTATGTTATTTATAGTAAAAGCAACACAACGGGCCTTGTACTTTGTGACAATAATAACATCTTATGATCGTTATAATTGCACTGTCAACGCATAAAATATACTTGCAAATATTGATGTAAATGTTTTAAATGAATGACAAACTCTAATCAAACGGTGTTTAAACAAAATATAGATTTAAATTTTTTATCCAAACAAAACAAACTATAAAATGCATTGCCAATTATTTTACGTCTTATCTTAAAGTATGTAAACAAAGTTTATAGGCTGTTATAAATTTCAATCAAAAAGCTATGCACACTAATTATAACTTTATCACATAATTTTAATTGTTTTTTTTTGCCACACTCATACATGAGTTTAGTATCGAGCTTTTTAGTTTTGGACTTTGGTAATTTAATACTTGTAACTCGTACGTAAACTCTATGTAATCTGCTCGCCTAAGTAAACTCAACATAATCTCGTCGCGTATGCAAACTCTATAGCTAAGTTAAACATATCCAAACTAAATAGTTTAAAAATAATTTTTTTGGAGGTCAAAACTTGTTTTGCCCCAAAAAAATTTCCAGTCCAAAATTCCAAACAAAAAACATTAAACTAGTTTTGTTCAAATTAGTTAATTACGCCCAAAAAAAGTGTGAACACTATGTAAAAAAGCAAAACATAAGTTATTCATGTTTGCTCTGTATTTTACCATGATAAAACAAATAAACAAAATAAAAGGGATTACAACTTAGTTATTCTATTTGATCACACCAAAATGAATCCAAAGAATACAAAAATGCACCAAAGTGCGAAGAAAAGGAAAAAAAAAATCACATAAGCACATTTTTGCGCTTTTTTTTCCGCAAAAAACGTGGACTTTTTTACACAAAAACACTTTAGGACTTGACATCATCAGCCTCAGCATTATATATATTGAAATTAATGGAGGATCTTTACAAAAAAAATTATATTGACTGCCTTCAAATAGTAACAATATTTTTGGTGCCGGTCAGCAAAATGCAAGATGGCAGGTGGAACAAAAAAATATCAAGTGTTATCTGTAGTTTAAGCATTGGAATAGTGAATATATGATATTAAAATGTGTTTTACACAACCCGTTGCTCCGTGAATTTCTTCAAAACAATTATTTTGAACTCTTCTGTCTATCATCTATCTTGCTTCACCTAATTGTGCACGTAGAACTAACGTCATGGCACAAGGTGTATACATTATGCAAAAAGATGTCAAAAGTTAATTACTTACTCAAATTCTGGGTGTTTTGCAACCTTCGTAAGACGTACGTCTTTACAGTCGTTGAATATCTGGTATAAGTTTGGATTGTTAACTACTGACCACAATGGCCAGCTCCTTGCAGTTAACTTCAGTTGCTGCAGAACTTCTATAGCTATTGTGCAGTTTGTCGAAGTGGTTACAATAGGTAAATGCAAAAAGCTTAAACACGTGGTATACTTCATAATATCCATTGGATCTTGAGTATTTTACTTTTGAATGTGTCATCTGAATCAAAAAATGATTGTTTAATGCACTACAGTTTAAACGCTCAACCTGGTTCAATATCAAAAAACCAGCAAGTTAATGCAGCAAAAAAAAGGAGAAACAGTCTTCATAATGGTTATGACTTTTTGTGCGCAGACCACAAAAAAAATGAAAAACAGAGATAATGACAGGCAAAGAGTAACAGTTGTAAGACTTCTAGTTTTAACAACTTTGGTTCTAAAAATGCTCAGCGCAGGGCCGTCCCGAAAAGATTTTAAAGGGAGGGGGTAATGTGTCTGTTTTTTGCCGACTAAAGCCAAAAAAAATTTTTTTGATCGCAAAAAAAAAAAAAAGGTCCTCGTTTTCCAATATTTGCCGACTGCCAACTATAGATCCAATTTTGCCAACTCCAGTTCCAATTTGATGACAAAAAAAAATCATAGGGAAGCTAGACACCCCTACGCCCCCCTTCCCTCGGGACGGCCCTGGCTCAGCGGGATGTAGCTATTGTGCAGACGTTAAACAAAATTTTAACACCCAATAAGGACCATTTCAAACTTTTCAAGTTGTAACCAATTACCTTGCTACCAAAGTTGTATTGACTAAAGTCAACAGTGCAGGCACAGACCGTTTTACAGGTTGCTAATCAATGTGGTAACTTTAAACAATTACATTATGATTCAATAGTATTGTACTACAATGTCATAAAACTCTCTAAGTTGCTAATTACTCTAAAGAATTACTATATTAAATATATATACTAACTGTTACTACTGTCAATAGTATTTTTAAAGTAATCGTAACCAGTTTTCTTTTACTATTTGATAATTAAATAACTGATTAGATATATTTAATAACATAAATTAAAGTTTCATGCATTTGCAATCATCAGATTTTATAACCTAACAAAAAGCGACAAAAAGTTACACACAAAAAAATGTTTCATCACCAGTTGCAAAAATTCCTGATAACTTAATGGAAATTATTTACAAAACCAGGAAACGTTTACTTTTCTCACTAAATGATTTGTGGATTAAAAAATCAGTAGACTCTAATTTCGATAAATAACTAAAAATAATAATTAAAAAAGATATTTGTGAGTGCATGAGAGTTATGAGTTAGTGCATTGCTTTAACTTATGAAATACTTTTTTTGTTGATAATTTTCTCAAAGACGTAAAAATATGGAGAAAATAGCTACAAGTTATGCTGAGCATAGTTTTATTTCTAATTTTTAGTTTTAGTTTTATTTCTAACAGTCTAAAGTTTGTGGTAAATATTTCACTTGTGGCTGTTATAAAGAAAGTTCTTGAAGTTCGCATACTGAAGTAACTCTCTTTATAATTGATTTCTCAACGCAATAAAAAAAATCCCAGAAAACCGCCAAAAAACAGACAAAATATTTGTTGTCTACTTTGATCGAAATTTTTTTCTTCAAAATCAAATATTTGTTAACATTACGGTATTATATTGTCAGCAAAAAAACTAAATAGTTTTAGGTTTAACATTTTTTAGAACTAAATATCTTATTCTTTATCATATTTGTGATTTTTTTTTTAAATCAACTTGGATAAATGATTGTGATTGAAAAATTCCGCTTTCCATAAATGACGGTCTTTTTACACAATTTTTTATTTTACATTCTAGTTGTTTCTACACTCGTGCATAGTTTCTTGTTATTAAATAGATTAAATAAACTAATAGCTCTTACCCTACAAATCAATGTGGTCTTTGTGGGAAATGTTAGACAATTCATTATTCAATTTTTTAATTTTTAAAAACCAGTATTAAATTTCTCTTGTTATATATACATTGAAAACATCAAATATACTTTTGTAAAAAATTCGAATGAAAGCAATATGAAATAAACTATCTAAGCTGTTAAAAATAAAATGATGGCGTAAATGTGCTAAAGAACATATATATTTAGACGGCAAGTTTAGAGCTTAAGTCGGCATTTGGGAAATATCAACGAAGGAGGACTTTTTTTACCTGTTAATCGCAAAAAACAGATACGTCAACACACTCCTTCCGCCTCTTTAAAGTTTTTTCGGGAAGGCCCTGCTTATATAAATGCATTGTAGCTAAAAATAAAAATGAAAACAAATTAATAAAAAAAAAATTTTATGATTATTTTTTTTAACTTTCATTTCATATCATTTTTTGAATTTGTAATTCTTTTCAATTTTATATTATCATAAATAATTTGTTTACATTTGACGAACTTTTATGTATAAAGTAACAAATGTATGAAGTATTATATTATCTTAAAAAATTTAATTTTGCTTATATATCAAAATTAAAAGTTTTAGGATAATATTCTGAAAAAAAGGATCCGGTTTGGCTGCTTTCCGCGAACGCGTTGAAGACATTATTTTATCATTTTTCAATTTTTAAATCTTACCTAATTTTTTTCTAAAAAAATCAAATATGAACTTAGTTTTTTTATTTATATTTATATTTTTTAAAATTATACTTATATTTTTTAAATTCCAGATAAAAAAATTTCTTTCGTAGCACTTAAAAAGCAAATAAATAAAAAATAAATATTTTTTAACAAGTAAAAAAAAAATATTAAAAATACGGCCGCCTTATATACA